AGGCTAGCCTGGGCAACTAACTAAAAGAGATACTATCTCCAAAAAAAAAAAAAAAAAAAAGAGTGTGTTTGTGGGGTCTGGTATATCTGGGATAAAGTGTCCCTGGGTTCAATTCCCAGTTAATACTCCTACCCCTAAAATCCTTTAAGAATCAGGAGTGGTGGTGGAGAGAGCAGCAGTAAGCCAGGTGGCCTGTAAGAATCAGCAACAGTGAGGGATAATATAATATATTGACATTAGGATCAGAGTACACTATTCCAGGCACTGACTGTATGGTACAAGAGCTATGGGTAAAAGTTTTACTTCAGAGAGCTGAAGGGAAAGAAGCAATGTCCTCAGGGAGTATCACGTTTCTGGTACAGCAAGAGAAAAGAAGAGATAGCAAATATAGGAATGCCTTTTTAGATAGACTGTGCATTCCAGTCCTTCAGGAATTGGGATGGGGTGAGAAAAAGGAGAATATGTGGAGATCTTTTTGGGAATTCATGGAAGGGATGAGAGTTGACCTGGAAATCTAACATGTCTTGTGGTGTATAAACATAAAGTTATAATGTGATGAGTCTTCATGGACCCAAGGTAAACAACAACAGTAAGGTTGTATTAATGGGTAGACACCTGTCATTGAGAAAAAGAAGGCTTGAAGGACTATGGTTAGGCATAAACACAATGTGCAGAGGGAATCTGGGGACAAGTTTTTAGTTCTAGCATGTAAATTCACTCTTGACTCCTGTTGGCAGAAGAGTAGACTAATTATGAGTGTATTACTATATGCCAATTCTTGTTGATTAAACAGAGGAGGGTCTGCGGAAGCAGGGTATTGCTTTCAGCTCATGGGTTCCTTTATTGACCAATTAAAATATTGATGCCAGGGCCCAATCCAGTTAAACTAAATCATAATCTTTACATGTAATTTAATCTAAATGTGCGACTCAGGTATCAGTATTTTTTACAAACTGCTTATGTGATTTTAATGTTCAGTCAAGGTTGAGAGACACTGTTTTCTTTTATCGTTACTCCCTCCTTTATACAGTTAAGAGTCTCTGCAAGTCTCTAGGTGAGGAAACTTTGCCTATAACTTTGAATGTTATTCATCATTTAATACAACAGTTGCTGAGTGCCTATGAGACATAAGGACTTAATGTTAGTTGTGCTAATTGTTATACAGAATTCTAAAGTAAACTAGATATGGCCTTTGCCTTAAAGAACTTTCAACATAGCAGAAAGGTTAAGGCATTAAACTATAATACAAAAAAAGGCATAATGAAGGATATGAGGGAGATAAAAAATACTATATGAATTCAGATTATGAAGAAATAAATTCTTCAGGCAAATATTTCAGTGGTTACTAATTTTGAAACAGATATTACTGATATAAAAATGGGAAGGTAAGTAAAATGAACATATTCACATTTTACCTGGAAGTACCAGTAAGCTCAATAACTTTCTGCCTTTTCAAATCTGCATCATGAGCAGCTGTTTCACATTTTTCCTCCATTTTTCTCAACTTTTCAGCTGAACTTTCTCTTTGTTTTTGAAGTTCTTGTTCCAGCTTTGATACCTTGTAAAGCAGTTCTCAGTAAGTATTTTAAATTACCGATAAACATTAGTCAAAAGAAAAACACTTTTATAAATATGTAGCCTACCATATAATTCCATTTCAGATGTATTTTTAAAAATCAAAGTAAACTGTGCATTATAAACTGGCCTATAGTCCCAGCTACTTGGTAGGTTAAGTATCATTTGACCTCAGGAACAGGAGGCCAACCTGGGCATAGTAAGACCCCATCACAAAAATAAACAAATAAAATTTAAAATAATTTAAAAAATAAAAATAAATGATTAAAAAAACAAAATTATATTGAGCTGGGGTTGTGGCTCAGCGGTAGAGCGCTCACCTAGCACGTGTGGGGCCCTGGGTTCGATCCTTAGCACCACATTAAAAATGAATGAACAAGCAGCACAATTCACAATAGCTAGACTTTGGAATCAACCTAGATGCCCTTCAATAGATGAATGGATTAAAAAACTGTGGCATTTATACAAAATGGAGTATTACGCAGCACTAAAAAATGACAAAATCATGGATTTTGCAGGGAAATGGATGGCATTAGAGCAGATAATGCTAAGTGAAGCTAGCCAATCCTTAAAAAACAAATGCCAAATGTCTTCTTTGATATAAAGAGAGCAACTAAGATCAGAACACAGAAGAAGAGCATGAGGAAAAGACTAACATTAAACAGAGACGAGTGGGGTAGGAGAAAGGGAGAGAGAAGGGAAACTGTATGGAAATGGAAGGAGACCCACATTGTTACACAAAATTACATATAAGAGTTTGTGAGGGGAAAGGGGAAAAAAAACAAGGGAGAGAATTAAACAACAGCAGATGGGGTAGAGAAGGAAAATGAGAGGGAAGGGGAGCGGGGATAGTAAGGGATAGGAAAGGGAGCAAAATACAACAGTCATTAATATGGTATTATGTAAAAATGTGGATGTGTAACCAATGTGATTCTGCAACTTGTGTTTGGGGTAAAAAATGGGAGTTCATAACCCACTTGAATCAAATGTATGGAAGATGATATGTCATGAGCTTTGTAATGTTTTGAACAACCAATAAAAAAAAACAAAAAAAATAAATGAACAAAATAAAGGTATTGTGTTCAACTAAAATATAAATATTAAAAAAAGCAAAATTATAGACCATGAAGCAATGTTTTAAAAAAAATACAAAAACATAACTTACTTTTTAGCAATAAAGATACTCTATTCACATGTATCTTAAAAAAGTGGCAACATCATAAACACTAAAATAAGACATAAAACCCCAATAAGACTAGCGGGGAATAGCTCAGTGATAGGATACTTGCCCAGTGCATACAAAGTCCTAGTCTCTATCCCTAGAACTGTAAATAAAAAGGAAGAAGAATTGAATAAATAGCTAAGTGTAGAGATGCACAACTGTCATCCTACCAACTTGGGAGGCTGAGGCAAGAGGATTTTAAGTTCCAGGAAAACCTGGGGAACTTAGCAAGACCCTGTCTCAAAATAAAATTAAAAGGGCTTGGGGTATAGCTCAGAGGTACAGTGCATACCTAGCATGTACAAGGTCCTAGGTTTAACTCCCAGCATGGAAAAAGAAAAAAAATAATTTAATAAATATTCTCCTTCTCACTCTCTACATTTGAAATAATCTTGTGTGTGTGTGTGTGTGTGTGTGTGTGTATGTGTTTTCCTTTCTTTTTTCATAGATTGGCTAATTCAGTGAAATACTCCTAATTCCCATTTGACTATAAACTCTATAACCTGCATTTTTCCTGTCTATCTTTTTTACAATAAAAGAGGTCATTTTCTACCTATGTAAGTCAAATTGCTTCTTATGTGTTCTGGAATCAATTCCTATCCACATTCTCAGAAACCTCACACTATTGACACTCTTTTCTCCTTCCTGTATCTTCAATCTCTAGTATTTTATTTTCTTCTTTTTATCTTTCCCATCTCTTGTGGTGGTACTGGGAATTGAACCTGGAGCCTCACATAACACTAGTCAAGTACTCTACCACTGAGCTACATTTCTGGCCCCCCCCTCTTTTTTTGAGATAGGTTCCTAGTAAATTACTGAGGCTGGCCTTGAACATGCAGTCCTGCTGCACCTCCTGAATAGTTGGGAATACAGGCAGGTGTCACCACAACCCCAACATTTTATTTTTATTAAATAACAGCCCTTAAACATGTTTCCCATTGTAAAAAAACTGTCTTTCATACCTATACCTTCCTCCACCTACCACCCTTTCTTTCAGCCCCTGCAAAGCCCAATTTCTATATTACTGTCTCATTTCTCATTTACACCTCAATCTAAAGAAAAACTGTCTGTTCCATATAAACTGCGATTAAATCACCAGTAGCTTCCAAGTTGCCAATTCATCAGTGGACTTTTCCTAATGTCCATTTTACTTCCCAGTGATTCTAATAGCCTATGACAATGTCCTTCCTTTCTTCATAAAATATTTACTTTGGCTTCTATTTATCACATCCCTCCGGGATCTGTCCAAGCCAATCTTCTCACTTCTCATTCTGTATTCTGTAATCTGTTATTTCATGTTTTCAATGAACATTTATATGACTGTGGTTCTCAAAGATAACCTTTGATTTTGACTTTAGTATCCTCCCAGCTTTCCTAAAACCCCTCACAGAACTAAATAACTAAATAATATTAAAACAGCAGTAAGGGCAGAAGTTACAGTTTAATGGTAGAGTGCTTGCCTAGCATGTACAAAGCCCTGGGTTTGATCACAGTACCAACAAAGAATAAACAAACCAAAACAAAAGCAAAACCAAACCAAATACCTCCAGTACTCAGGAAATAGGGAAGGGAAACAAGGAAATCTACCTCCTGAATTCTTGATTAAACATCACACACATCAACACAAGGAATCTAAAGTAATAATCTGAAAGGATCCAACATGAATCAATGTATATATAAAAGAAAACCAGAAAGAAAATTTATACTTAAGAAATTGTTGGATGCAAACTTCTGTAGACTCTTAAAGAAGTTAAAGAAAGGGATGGGATTGTGGCTCAATGGACCGTGCTCGCTTAGAACATGTGAGGCATTGGGTTTGATCTTCAGCACCACATAAAAATAAATAAAATAAAGGTATTGTGCCCATCTACAACTAAAAATTTTTTTTTCTAAAAGAAGAAGTTAAAGAGAACAAAATATTGACTTAAAACAAAGAACAAAGATAATTATCATACAAAGAATTCATATGAGGCCAGGCATAATGGTGACTCAGAAGGCTGAGGCAGGGCCAGGAGGATTCTAAGTTCAATGCCAACTTCAGCAAAAGCAAGGCACTAAGCAACTCAGTGACACACTGTCTCTAAATAAAATACAAATAGGGCTAGAGATGTGGCTCAGTGTCCAAGTGCCCCTGAATTCAATCCCAAGTACTGCCCCCACCAAAAAAAAAAAAAAAAAAATTTTTTTTCAAATGAACTAGTCAAGTTAAGGGGAAATCAACAACAACAAAAAGAAGAAACCTATAACATCACCACAGAAATAAAACCACTTTAAGAGGAACAAGAATCATAATCAGTCCTGCCAAAGTCGGAGTGAATTACAAGGATTTAGGTAGTAGGAGTCAAATACCAAGGAGATGAAGAAATATTTCAGGGTGAGGCTATATAGTAGGCTTAGTAAGCAACAGGTCTAGACTTTAATGAAAGGAATGGAAAGTTACAGAAGATGTCTCTAAAAAATAAAACACAGAATACCTGCATGACACACAATTGAATGCACTGAAAGGAGTCTTTAGTTCCACTGGAGAGGCTATCTTAGAAGTTTTCTGTTGCTATAACTGAATACCATATCATATACTGGCTGACTTAAAAAGAATAAAGGTTTATTTTGTTCATGTTTTTGGAGGTGGTTCTGGAGTGGGGAAAGTCCAAAGTCACTATGCTGAAACTGAAGGCCTTCTTACTAATGGGGACTCTGCAGAGTCCCAATGTGGTACAGGGCATCACATTACCGTGAAAGGAGAACATAGAAGAAACAGAGCCAAAATGGCTTTTATAACACCCCCCACTCTCGAGATAACTCATCAGTCCATAAGTAGATTCATTCATTCTTGAGGTCTGAGCTCTCATAACTCGATCACTTCTTCTTCTTCTTCTTCTTTTTTTTTTTGGTATTGGGGATTGAACTCAGGGGAATTTTATCACTAAGCCACATCCCCAGCCCTTTTTTGTATTTTATTTAGAGACAGGATTTTGCTGAGTTGTTTAGGCCTCAACAAGTTTCTGAGGCTGGCTTTGAACTCGAGATCCTCCCGACTCAGCCTCCCAAGAGACTTGGATTTACAGGCATGCATCACTTCGTCCAGCTCAATCACTTCTTAAAGGTCCCATCTGGTCCCAACTCTTATCTTACATTTCAACATGAGTTTTGATGGGGGCATTCAAAGCACAGCAGAGGCTGAGGATAAATTTGAAATAATGAAAGATCATCCATTTGACAAAAAACTAATCTTACAAATGTAGTAAGATTACATTGGAGGGCTGGGATTGTGGCTCAGTGGTAGAGTGCTTGCCTAACACTTGCAAGGCCCTGGGTTCGATCCTCAGCACCACATAAAAATAAATAAGTAAGGGTATTGTCTCTAAAAAAATAAAATGTTTTTTTAAAAAAAGATTACATTGCAAAATGTATAAATTTTTCAATTTGTTTATTTCTGCAAATTTTCTTTTGAAAAGAGAAAAAAACAAAAGAAATGAAATATCTGTAAAGAATTCTGTGAGGTGAAGAGAGAGAGAGAGCCTACATCTTGGGAGCAAATTTTTATCCCTCACACATCAGATAGAGCACTAATCTCTAGGATATATAAAAAACTCAAAAGCTACACGTCAAGCCCTGAGGATTTATGTGTTAGTTCTCTATATCAATAGTTTTGAATTTTTTATTTATAATTCTGATTCCTCCATGGAACTCCAGACATTTGAAA